ACCCATTCAAGCCATCTCCAGCCATTATATGTGCTATGCTGTTTTAGGATTTTTGCTCCGAAAAAGGATAAAAACACTCTGAAATAGGGCACATTTATAATCTTTTTAACAAACTTCTGGCTTTGAAGTACACAGTGCTTTATCAGTTAAATGAATTAATTGTTATCTTCCACAAAACATTAGGGATTCAATAAGAAAAAAGAAAGAACATTATATAACAAGGTACTTCTTACAACTTTTGCTTCTTTAACGGGCACCCTCAGCTAGTGGACATAAAGAGCAATATACGTATAACATATACGTTGATTTTAACATCTAAAGAAAGAAAGTACAAAATACAAAAAAATCCCCTTCAGTCCTTAGTTTATCGTAACTGTATGGTACCTCAGATAATCATTTTACGTCATTTAAGTCTGTACTTGAAAATCCGTCTCTAAAAAAACTATGTGAACTCTGCATTTAGAGTTAGGAAAACAGCTCAAAGAAGAAACAAAACTTTAATGTAGTCATTGACAATTTTTTAAACTTCATATAATTTATTTTTGAAAGACTGTCACTAGGTTACCATATGTCATAACAAGAAATAATAATAATACTTACAATTGACCCTCAAAATGAAGAAAATGTGGCTTACGGAGGTGTGGTGCCTATACTTATACTATAATATGACTTATCCACAATGCTGTGTAAAATTATGGATGTAGATGATACAGCAAACCACTACATAAATTGTTCCTAATAAAGACCTGATGTGATCTGAATAGAAACGCTCTGTAGCTTTACTCAGGTATCTGCAGCCAATCAAATGTATAGTTATAGCCCTCTGATCCAAAGCCTTGTATATCATAAACGGATAAAGGGATGTCCGGGTGCACGTGTCACATGATCAACACTTCCTGTATATAAGGTAAATTTTTGACAGCATAAGCGAGTTAGTTTACATACATACACACATATATATATATATATATATATGTTTACTCGGAGATTTATACGTTAAATAATACAATACAAAATGATTTAATTTGAGAAATTCAAAAACTAGCTCTGAAATAAAATATCCTCTTTTAAATTGTTAAAATTGTCGATTTTTCTAAATATTAAATGTGAAACTTGAATCTAAACTAATGCTTTTTTTTTTGAATATCCAAAACCATTATCAGAAGATAAAATCTAAGTTGTTAGTTTTGTAAAATGATACCTGGAAGTCAATAATTTCCCTTGTCTTTTAGATTAGAAAGATGGAATATAGTTTTTCAAAAAATTCAAATATGCATGTTTTAAGAGTGCTTGTAGACTTTCGCGTATGTAAATCAACCTTGTACAGTAATGACTTTAATCAATACGTGGATTTTTCGAAATTTGTTTTTCTCACAGTTCCGCTCTACCTAGACCACTAGTATATCTGTCTTTCTCACAGCTCAGCTCTACCTAGACCACTAGTATATCTGTCTTTCTCACAGCTCAGCTCTACCTAGACCACTAGTATATCTGTCTTTCTCACAGCTCAGCTCTACCCAGACCACTAGTATATCTGTCTTTCTCACAGCTCAGCTCTACCTAGACCACTAGTATATCTGTTTTTCTCACAGTTCAGCTCTACCTAGAC